ACTGAAGGAGATAGATCTTAACACTTTCTCACCCCACATTGAATAAGAAAACATTATAAAATAGAAAAAAAATGCAATACAAGAAAACCAATCTCTAGTTACTTTCGAAATGGGAAGGAAATAAAGGCTTGTAATGATGACATGGTTGACACATTTCATGTTGGTTACTAGGAAGGCAAAGAAAGAGAATGCAGAAGTGGCGACATGGTTTGCATTTGACAATAGGGAAGGGAGGAGAATGACTCTTACATTAAAGGAGTGATGCAGTGAGGCAAATGAAAAAGTTTTGTGAGAATATAATTTTAACCCTAGCGGACTAATACATCTTGGTTATTTAAAGGGTTCAGGTAAACTTATCGTAGGTAATATTTATTTTCTTTTGTAGTTATATCTATTATATGTATTGACATCATCCACATTTTCAGTGCATGCCACAGTATTCTGATAAGTAATCACAAAACAAAGGGAAATGACAGATTTCTGTCTATGTAGTTGCAAAAATGTATGCAACCAAAACATGCATGATATGTATAACAAAAAGAGACTGTTCTGTTTTAAAGGGGACGAGGATACATATTTTGCACATCCTCGGCTCTAGAGAGAAAGAGAGATGAATATGAATCTCCTTATCCTTTCTAGTTTCTACTAAGTCTGAACAGTGACCTGAATAAAAAGTCTGAGGACCCACGCACCATACTTTGTTGGGGTGGGATGACGCTGCAAAAACTTGTTCGGTCGATAAAGGTTTAGTTTCTTGAAAACTAGGATATGCCATATATACGTGTGTTAGTGGAATCCTGTGTAAGAAAGTAGTGCACCTTTGCTATATATACGTTATAAAATACATACAAGAGTTCTTTCCTAATTCAGTGGTGTATGAGTTCTTTTCAGAAATTTTAGTCCTAATTTAATTTATTTTGTATTGCCTTTTGAATTAGTTCCTGGTCTTCGGGCTTTGCACTGTTAAAAAATGAATGCTGTCTGCTGCAGCTGCTGGTGGTTCCTGAGAATCTGAAATTAGATAAATAGTGAGATCAAGCAACAAAATGGGACTAAACTTTATATTTAATTATTTCATCTGGGTGTTTGTGGAAACAAAATGATCTAGAGCTTCTCACATTTTCCACTTTTCTTTCTTATATAGCTTTACGCATGAAGAAATTGCTGTATGCTGAATATTGATTTTAAATTTGATAGTTGAGGTGGAGCTTAAAAACACTTGAAATAAAGCCTAGTGGTATGAGCCTATTTGAGGAACATGAGGGGGAAAATGAAGCCCATTGTTCCAGCCAACACAAGTGGTGGATAAAATCTGTGCTCTTCATGTGGAAAATTTTACAAGTGTTTTCCATATTCTTTATCAGAAAAACCATTGATACCGATCTTATTATTTGTAACCTTAGAATGCCTTATATAGATTGCTAGGTACACTTATATTAGTGTAAATAAAAATGTAGCCAGGCTGATCTTTTAACAATCAATATGACTCACCAAACCATGAAGAATGCTATATTTGTTACATATTTGTCTTTTTACTAAATATAATAATAATAATTACTACGTCTATAGTATAAATCTCTCCTTCTAATAACAAAAATGATAATAAATACTTTGTCTTCATACATTTTAATAAAAAATGTCGATTTTTTTTCTAAAACAATTTATAATTTTATATATATTTTCCTAATCTACCCCGACTGAAAATATTGAATATTTATGTTTTGTATTAATGAATAGTGAAAAGAAAACCTACAAAAGTATAAATAATGAAAATTAATTTGATACACTAGTAATGTTTTTAAAAATCCAACTAAGTTAATTGTTTTTATTATATGATTAAGTTAAGTGTACTATACTACAGAATAGAAAGAATATAATAAAAATAACCGCTATTGAATGTATAGTAAGGGGAGCACCATGGCCAATCCTATACAAATTGAATGTACAATAACAACTTCACGAAATTAAACGGAGAGATTAAAGCTGTCTGTAAATAACTTAACCTAAATTCTTAGTCATAAACTGCTGGTAAATAACAACTTGTTTACAATTTTGAATATAAACCTTACTGCAATACTCTAAAAAAAACTTGTTTTGATTACTTCTTCCATAAAGCTTACTTGAAGAAGAAAAAACAGGTAGGTCTATGAAAGGTCATAGCCCCTGTTATAAGCCCAAATATAAATTACCTTAACATCTCAACCAAGATTTTCTAAACAGTGTTTTAGAGTTAAGCAATGTACTCATCATATGTAATTTTCTGGAGTAAGGTGGAATGACGTGATTTTGTATGTTACACGACTATTAATAAAATCANTTTTCATCCTTCGATCCTAGAGATGAAGAGTGATGATGAAATGTCTCTAGCGGCAAACCAAGATTGATAATTATGTCATTAGCAGCAAATCAAGATTGACCTCTTTTATAATTTGGCGTGAAAAATGCTTTTCTACATGAAAATTTTTAGAAGAAATTTATATGGATTAAAACAATCCCCAAAAACATGGTTTGGAAAGTTTAACAAGTCTATGAAAGTTTTTTACTACAGAACAAGTAACTCTTCACGCCTTATTTTTGAAGAGAGGAAAAAGAAAAATTTCAGCTTTGATTATATATGTAAATAATATGATATTCTTACATGAAATGAACAATATAAGATTTCTAATTTACAACAATATCTTGCATCTGAATTTGAGATGAAATAACTTGAAAACTTCAAATATTTTCTGAGTACTGAAGGAGATAGATCTTAACACTTTCTCACCCCACATTGAATAAGAAAACATTATAAAATAGAAAAAAAATGCAATACAAGAAAACCAATCTCTAGTTACTTTCGAAATGGGAAGGAAATAAAGGCTTGTAATGATGACATGGTTGACACATTTCATGTTGGTTACTAGGAAGGCAAAGAAAGAGAATGCAGAAGTGGCGACATGGTTTGCATTTGACAATAGGGAAGGGAGGAGAATGACTCTTACATTAAAGGAGTGATGCAGTGAGGCAAATGAAAAAGTTTTGTGAGAATATAATTTTAACCCTAGCGGACTAATACATCTTGGTTATTTAAAGGGTTCAGGTAAACTTATCGTAGGTAATATTTATTTTCTTTTGTAGTTATATCTATTATATGTATTGACATCATCCACATTTTCAGTGCATGCCACAGTATTCTGATAAGTAATCACAAAACAAAGGGAAATGACAGATTTCTGTCTATGTAGTTGCAAAAATGTATGCAACCAAAACATGCATGATATGTATAACAAAAAGAGACTGTTCTGTTTTAAAGGGGACGAGGATACATATTTTGCACATCCTCGGCTCTAGAGAGAAAGAGAGATGAATATGAATCTCCTTATCCTTTCTAGTTTCTACTAAGTCTGAACAGTGACCTGAATAAAAAGTCTGAGGACCCACGCACCATACTTTGTTGGGGTGGGATGACGCTGCAAAAACTTGTTCGGTCGATAAAGGTTTAGTTTCTTGAAAACTAGGATATGCCATATATACGTGTGTTAGTGGAATCCTGTGTAAGAAAGTAGTGCACCTTTGCTATATATACGTTATAAAATACATACAAGAGTTCTTTCCTAATTCAGTGGTGTATGAGTTCTTTTCAGAAATTTTAGTCCTAATTTAATTTATTTTGTATTGCCTTTTGAATTAGTTCCTGGTCTTCGGGCTTTGCACTGTTAAAAAATGAATGCTGTCTGCTGCAGCTGCTGGTGGTTCCTGAGAATCTGAAATTAGATAAATAGTGAGATCAAGCAACAAAATGGGACTAAACTTTATATTTAATTATTTCATCTGGGTGTTTGTGGAAACAAAATGATCTAGAGCTTCTCACATTTTCCACTTTTCTTTCTTATATAGCTTTACGCATGAAGAAATTGCTGTATGCTGAATATTGATTTTAAATTTGATAGTTGAGGTGGAGCTTAAAAACACTTGAAATAAAGCCTAGTGGTATGAGCCTATTTGAGGAACATGAGGGGGAAAATGAAGCCCATTGTTCCAGCCAACACAAGTGGTGGATAAAATCTGTGCTCTTCATGTGGAAAATTTTACAAGTGTTTTCCATATTCTTTATCAGAAAAACCATTGATACCGATCTTATTATTTGTAACCTTAGAATGCCTTATATAGATTGCTAGGTACACTTATATTAGTGTAAATAAAAATGTAGCCAGGCTGATCTTTTAACAATCAATATGACTCACCAAACCATGAAGAATGCTATATTTGTTACATATTTGTCTTTTTACTAAATATAATAATAATAATTACTACGTCTATAGTATAAATCTCTCCTTCTAATAACAAAAATGATAATAAATACTTTGTCTTCATACATTTTAATAAAAAATGTCGATTTTTTTTCTAAAACAATTTATAATTTTATATATATTTTCCTAATCTACCCCGACTGAAAATATTGAATATTTATGTTTTGTATTAATGAATAGTGAAAAGAAAACCTACAAAAGTATAAATAATGAAAATTAATTTGATACACTAGTAATGTTTTTAAAAATCCAACTAAGTTAATTGTTTTTATTATATGATTAAGTTAAGTGTACTATACTACAGAATAGAAAGAATATAATAAAAATAACCGCTATTGAATGTATAGTAAGGGGAGCACCATGGCCAATCCTATACAAATTGAATGTACAATAACAACTTCACGAAATTAAACGGAGAGATTAAAGCTGTCTGTAAATAACTTAACCTAAATTCTTAGTCATAAACTGCTGGTAAATAACAACTTGTTTACAATTTTGAATATAAACCTTACTGCAATACTCTAAAAAAAACTTGTTTTGATTACTTCTTCCATAAAGCTTACTTGAAGAAGAAAAAACAAGTAGGTCTATGAAAGGTCATAGCCCCTATTATAAGCCCAAATATAAATTACCTTAACATCTCAACCAAGATTTTCTAAACAGTGTTTTAGAGTTAAGCAATGTACTCATCATATGTAATTTTCTGGAGTAAGGTGGAATGACGTGATTTTGTATGTTACACGACTATTAATAAAATCACAAATAGAAACTATAGTGCAAGTGATAGTATGCTGCAGAATCTGCAATAGTATCATGTTCCTGTTTGGAATTGGATTATGCCGCCCAATAAAAATATTTACTCTTCAAGGGATACAAACCACATTTGGCATGCCTTTAATTATCAGGGCAGGTGAAGATTACTGGGTTTCAAATACTACAGCACCAAGGGCTACAAAAGCCCAAAATATAAGAATACCTACGATAGCAGCTCTCAACAACTGATTATATTGACCATATAAGCCGCCTTCTAATTCATTGGAAGGATGCAAGATTGGAGGATCCTCATTGTCACTGTCACTGGTGTTCTCCACCCTGTCTCTCCTGCTGGTCCCAGCCACATAAGGTTGCAGCATATCCTGTGAGCCAACGGTATAGCATTTCACGCAAGTGCAGGAGCCTCCAAGATATGAAGGCAGTGTTGGCAGATAGTCCGCAAGAACTTTCTGAAACATTTCCCCTTCTATTTTCAACTTGTTTCTAGTAGCAGGCTTCAATTCCTGAGTCAAATGCACAGATTAATTTGTTTAGAAAATTGCATTTTATCTTATAGATCTACTGCTCCGGTTATTACTTACTATTATCTAGGTGGTTGTGTTCCAATCCAATGATAAATGAAATTGTGTTTAATCAAACAATTTGTTTGATACCCCGACATGTTTCATAATCAACAATTCAATGCACTTTCCTAATCATTTTTGGCTGAATAAACTGAAAGGAGAACTTACTTGAATAAAAGACTGCGCAATAACATGAGCACTGGTTGGCAGTTGTATGACAAACATGCAACCAAGACGATTGGGAAAGTGGTCTAGCAAAAGGGAAGAACAAGATCTCGTCATTTGCATGGGAATTCTCGCTGGAGATAAACCATCACAATCCACCAACACTGTAATTTGAGGGTTGTCTGCATCAACCAAGTGCAAGACTCCATATTCTACCTGTGATACTGAAATAACGATTATCAAATGTCAAAAAACTACAGAACACAAAAAGTAATACGTCAAGAAAACAAGACTGACTGATGCTCCGTAGAGAAAGGTAGTAAGAAGTGGAGAGCGAAGAAATAATAGTCTAAATTCACAAAAGCAAACATGTGAGGAAGTTGACAAGAAAAATAAATCGACATTTAAGAAAGAATAACTTACTTACTGCCTGAGCAAAACGAGGTCTATCTTCCCATTCCAAAGTATTGCAGGCTGACCCTAGCCTTACAATTAGGCAAGGTCTGCGCTCCACGTCACACCCATGCCAAAAGACCAATTTTGTCCACAATTTCTGTTCTTCCCAGGAAAGAATTCTGTAAGTCTCTCGCCATCGTATGGTCTTCTTTATTGAGGTAAGAAAGCTAGAAAAATCATTATTAGAAGCTGCATAAAATCTCCTAAGCTCGTCATCATCGATTCTGCATAAACACCCACTAAATCATGGTCTGTTGTAACAGGAGAACAAACAAATATGGTAGTGGATATGCAATTGCTATCTGAATCTACCTGACCCTGATTTTTGTACCAGCTTGGCGTTTGAAAAATATTTTAATATAAAAATGAGTTCAAAATTCAGTAGGTGATGTGATCAATTCAAATTTTACTCAAAATCTCAGCAAATCCAACTCCAAGAGATAGACCATTGTGAATAAATTATTAATGTTGCGTTTCTCATTCTGTTACAAGAAAAAAGTTGTAAGTCTACGACATTAATATAAATCACGGAATCATAACATGTAGCGTTGTTTTGAAACAAAATATTTGGTGGCATCACACGATGATATTCTTCTAGAATGGCACAATCACATCATGCTTAGGATTCTAAATCGTGAATGCACAGGAACCATAAAATACCTTTCAGGTAAACTAAGTCCTTGATTTTCAAGCTCTTGATTGAGTTGAGTCAACCACTTCTCAGATTCTAAATTATTATGATTTGTCAAACACTGGCTGTAAAATGTAAGAAAGTGAAGAAGCTTAAACGTAGAGCAAAATTATCAAGATAGTAAAAACCCCACAATCAATCTCAAGTTTCTCCTGAAGGATAATCTAGTAACACAATATTCAGAAGATGGTTTTCATATACCTTATATTCAAATCAACTTGTAAAGGTGATAATTCGGAGTATACTGCTGCATCTTCTGAACTACAATCTGACTTTCTATCACTACATTTTGATTTCATAGAAAACAACGTTGCAATTGACTGATCAGAAAACAATGTTGCAATTGAAAGGGCTAGCAACGGTCTTGATAGGACCTGACAGAAGAGAGATTTATTAGCTATCTGCTTTAATGATTATAGCTAAACTTGGTACATTTAGAAAATATACAGGACATGGCACAAACATTAACGAGAGAAGTTTTCAATCAATTTGATCTTCAACCAAGATAAATAAAAGGGAGCACGGAGTATAGTAGTATTTTCATCAATATTATTCAAACATCAATATCTTCATTCGCTTCTTCATTAAATAGGTAAACTGGAAAGACATATTGGCCTTTTCCTTTTCACTCTCAAACCAATTTCTAAGATATCACAAAGATTTTCCCAACTAAAAACATTTTTCAGGTCAGTATGGTACATGCATCCTGAGATATTGCGGATAAAATTTGGTATACTCGCTTAGATCGATATGAAATAAACGTTCCTAAATTTTGTAATGGTGATACCTAACCGACTGTAATTGAAAGTGACTTTTAAGAAATATTGTGCTATGTCCAATAAAATGTTATTCAGATATACTTTGATAAAAAGTTCACAAATTTATATAACGAACCTGCATGTTGTCAACCAAACCCTTGAAGGGTGCCCACCTCTGAATCCATTTAAAAGGTGGATAACACAGGATTTGTAGAGCCTGAAGGCCTCGCCATACACATGGACATCTGCTCTTGGAGAACCTCCTTATGATCTCTAAAGCAGCAACTTTAAGTAAGAAAATTGTGATACGACCCACAACACTTCTTCCAAAGCGGCCACAGAGCAGCAAAGTGAGATATTCATTGTTTCTCTTGACAAAACTTTTAGGATGAAATTCAATTAGTAGATTTCTGTATGCTCTATTTTCAGTCATGACACTGCCAGGTCTATGGATCTTACTCTGTCAGAATAATCCACCGGGTCTCCTATGTAAACTGATGGCAGCCAAGATTATCTGGTACAAGAAATGAATTGTTTAACATAAAAGAATCAGTATGAAATGAAAACGTTTTCTGTATGTATCATGGATTAGTCTAATAAAAAAAAATCGAAGCCCACATTGGCTGTGGAAGTAACTAAATAACAACTTCAACAATAATAACCACCAGTAAGCGATTAAAACAATTTCAAGACAGCAAATATTTAAACACCAAATACTTGGTGTTTATATTAACTTATTACAACTTATTTTAGTGTTCATAGTAGCTTGTAATCAATATCTAGAGGAGAGGGGTTCTCCTAAGTGAACAATTAATTCCTAAAATCTAAGCAAATCCAGCACATGAAAAGAGTATGCAAGCAGAAATGATTTACTTCTATTTAGTTCGAATACAGTATGTACAACAAGTACACCATCTTCCAAAGAGTTAATACAGTGATCAAAAGAGATAATACTGTCACCATCAACTTCTTCCTATGTATACTATGTCAAGAGTCAAGAGTAAGGTAAACCATTGTATTATACCCACAAGATAACAATGATGCCAATATCTTATGCAACTCAAACAATATCGGGAATAAAGAGCAATTGAAACATAATCAATTCAGTATTTTCCCCAAACAATTATCAAACTCTACAAGGACAAAGTGCACTAAACTTATACGAATAAATTGAAGCGGTAACATAGTATATAAAGAAAAAAGTAGGAAAACTTGACCTGAGATAGAATTGCAGGTTGAGAGCATCCATGGTTCTCGATCAGTCTTCCTGGGTCACCGAAAGTCAATGAAGCCAGAGAGAATGGAGGTTTAGAAATGAAGGACCTTTCTAAAAAAAATTTTCCATTTGGCAATGGGACTTTTTAGGGGCTTGACATGGGGCATTGGGCCTCATTGCCACTTAATAATTAGCTGTTACTTCTTCCAGCCCATCAAATTTCTTCCTGCACCTTATTATTCTGGATTTTATTTTTCAAAACAGATTTTTTCTGAAGACACTTACACATTTTTCCAGAAAAGAATTTCCAAAAGTTTTGATGGAGTGCAGGAAGAAATTTGATAGGGTGCACACCCTTCATAATTTCTTCTTGGATCTTAATGGAATGTTAGAAGACTTTAAGGCTGCTTTTTCCTGCTTTTCTATAATTTCTTCCTTTGGTTTCATTCACTTTAAAATTCCAATTTCATAGGAAGTTATACAATTTTGAGTAAATGAAATAAAAAATAAATTTATAGATAGAATAAAGTAGGGAGATACACAATTCCGACTAAAAAACAAAATAAAATTTATAATGAACTTCAAGAAAAAAAAAGTAATGCATTTTCAACATTTTCTAACTGTCAAAAAATAAATAAGTCCGAAATTCTTTAAAATAGCAACAAGTGATGAATGGTGCGAGAATTTGTCTTCTAATTTTTACCTTTTCTTTATAAGGTCATTTAAAGTGATTACATGAATAACATATTTTCATCTCGTATAAGATAATATAATTATTATAAGGAATTAATTATTAAATATACATGTTTGAGTTTGTACAAAATAGTGTTAAAATATGGGCATCGTATTTCATGGAGAATAAAAAGTATTTGACATTAAAAGTTTTAAAACGTCCAGCAGATAAAATGGGTATCTTCATTATGTATTTATGTGTTCGAAATTATTGGTTTATCGAGATGAACTTAAAAATGATTCTGATGATTTTTGTGCAATTTTTATGGAACAATTATCATAGTTATAATAAAAAGGTAAGAAGAATATAACAGAAAGCAAAGACAAAAGTCAGAATGTAGGAGCAGGAACATCAACACTCAGAAAATTAAGCAGAAGGCAAAACTTGGCACCTAATTATAATTTGAACAATAAGGTCATGCAAATGAACAAACTAAATTTCTCATAAAACTAGTGACAAAGCACTTAGAATACAGTTTGTTTTTCCAAGACATGGCAGTCTCTACTGGGACCAATAGTAACATGTGAACCACTGCATACATTAGTTCACAGAAGCAGAATGAGAATTCAGCTGTAAATCACAACATTTCTTGTGACTTCCGCACGCAACGGCTAACTTTTTTCTTGAATTCATCTCTCCTGTCTCTCCACTCTTTCTGCAACATAACATCATCACATCATCTTTAATTAATCAGTAAAACATCTTAGGAATGCAATATGTATTTCTAATGCCAAATTCTCAATTCAAAGTACTCAAACAAATGATACTAAAATGGATTTATCAAGGGAAGAATTGACCAGAAAAATAAATACAAAAGAGACCAGAGTTCAATCCACACATAAGATTGACACTATTTTCAATCCAAAACCTTAAGATTAGAGGTTTATGGATCTTATATGTTTCTCAACTTTCTCACAAGACAATGGATTTTGAGTTTTCTACTTTCAACTTTCTTATTTTTATCTTATTTCTATCTAATCCAATGTAAAACTTAGACTTACACTTGGATTTTCTAGGGATACCACATAATTAATTGGAAAATTAATATTACAAAATATAACTCATAACTCAGCACATGTTAGTGAAAGGAATATCCAACTAACAGAAGAAATAAGAACACATCCTCAATGTAGCAAAACAGGACAGTATCCACACATACACAACAACTTACTAAAGCCAACCCTCACACTTTACAACCCAGCAACATCAGACATAGATAATTCTAAATGCTTTTATTGAGTCAAACGGGACACATCAAGAAAGTCAACCAGGTACTAGTGTTCGTGTCAGACATAATGTCAAGAGGCAGTATGGCACAGGGTAAATTAGTGCCAAAGGTCAAGAAGACAAGGACAGTCCTAGTGGGTGTTCCCCACCCCCTCCAGCCATGCAAAAGTTAGTATCATGCCTAGTTATGGTACTTCTGAAGACATTGTTAATTTATACTAAGCAACATGTTCCTGCAAAACATACTTTTACTAGTACATCACGTATCTCAAAAATAGCTACTAAACTGTACAAGATGATTGATTAATTATTTTGTATATTTAAATATTCTTCCAGGAATTTCTTCATAATATCCGTAAATGTGAGGTAGGAAGGGTGGAGCTATACGGTGCAGGTTTCAATACTTTCTTGTGGGGCTGGTCCAGATTCACCTTTAAAGTTGATGGACCCATAGGGTATTGAATGTATCTTGAAAGATGGGACAGGGTTAAGTTGAGAAAAAACCTACCCATACTAGCTACATTGCCAAGCCTGGTGAAATAATACTAAAAGAAGCACTCTTGTGCTTCTTTTGTTTGTTTCTGTGCTTCATAACTCTAATTAAAAAAGTTCCAGGTTTTGCTTAAATCAGCAATTTGAGTACGACTACTTCCATCATAACCCAAGTCCGAATTAAACCATCCCACTTATATTATTTTTCCACCGTATTTAATCACTCGTGAAATCCATCCATACTAAATATTGAAATTATCTCACTTTGTCATCTATCGCTAATAGGAGAAGAATTACATTATCTACAGTCCCCCATCTCACCATTCATACAAACTAGCTATCTGCTCAAGTACCACGGCCATAAGTCAGAATTTCTCCACCATACATTAAATACATAACCTTGAGAAAATAACCGCTGAAATAGTTAAAATAATTGTAAGTTTACCTTTTCTTCTCTAGGATGCAAATAAGTGCCAAAGTATGACAGAGGGAAACAATGCAGATATAAAATAAAATAAAAAAAGAAGAAGCTAAAACTTACCGCGGCTTCAACATTTGCAGGAGATTCATCATTAGGACTAGAAAGCATCGATATGATACTTAATACTATACTTTCTACCTGCGAGTTGGAATACGTAATATTAATTCATAAGCACGTTTCAATGATATTTACAAGTACTATGTCAAACCACCAGTGATAGACCAGAAGTGGCATACATTTTGCAAGAAGCAAGAAAAACCAGCAAAATTATCAAGAAAACCTTGAAATTTTCACCACACCAAATTAGTAGTAGACTAATAGTTTCCTTCTCATTCAAAGTGCATGGAATGGAGAGCTCTATCCTATGATTACTATGTGAACTACCATTGATGCAATGCTGACAGTACAAGACAGTATCACAACAAGAGGATCTAATTATGCATATAAAGAGAACAGAGGAACTGCCAGAAGATGAAGCCTAGTATATATAACTGAGACAGATAGTTTCTGCCACATACGAATGCATTATATCAGTGTTTTGGGGCGTTTAGAATGCTGTTCCCGTAAATTTTAATGTCAAGTTCAACAAAGCTACAGTGTGGCATCACAGTAGATATAGATCACACAGCAGGTAGATACGCAGCTAAACATGCATATATCTTGCCAAAGGCTCACACAGAAGCAACTAACGTTAAGCTACACTAATCTACAACATTAAGGACACTGAATTGCACTTATTAATATACATACATATATATATATAGAGAGAGAGAGACACTGTAAGTATATATCCATTCATGAAATGAAAAGATTGAAAATTTGATGGAATGACTTCAGATTAAGCACATCATGCATATAGCCAAACTGCCGGGGGAATATTATACAACAAGTGCATCATATGATTATCAAACAAAAGCATGAGGAAGGGATACTAAACAATAATCTCACATTTATAGCACTAAATCAATTTACCCAGCAACTCAAAGCAGAGTCACCAGTTGCGTATAAGGCATAGTTCTCATTATTAAAATTAATTAATTAATTAAATTTATTGCTTTTTGTTTGTACATACTGTATGAACAGGTGTCCAGCGCTCACTTGCAAGCTCGTAACCATTCGGATCGTCACCAGGAGGGTGAAGAATTGATATGCAAACTCGCCCATCAGGATAAACTGCAATTTGAACATCTTTATATTTCATGCATTAAAGAAAGCAAGATAAAAATGAGTCAAACTAACCATTGGGATGCCATATCTCAGAGGTAAATTTCACTGATGGCGGACTATTTGGGTAGTTGGGTGGAAAGCTCATAATGGCATTAAAAAATCCCCCCTCACTTCACAAAAATTAAAAAAAAAAATTTGACAAAACAAGGAAACAAAGTAGTCAGTAAAACAAAGAACTCGGGTGCTATAAAAGACCATAGAAACAAAATGAAATAATAACTAGAGAAGACAATCCAATAAGGGAAAGTAAAGTATTGACTTAAATCATTTCTTAAAACAAGTACAATCAAATGAACCCAGCCAAGAACAAACCAAATCAGGAAAGTGTCGTCGTTTGCAGAAACGGCAACAAATATAAATAGAAATACATATTATTTTCATCAAGCCTACGAATATCAACAATAATCTCGAGAATTAAAAAAAGTAACAAGAAGGGTCCATGCAAGAACCGCCTGAATGGATTGGATTCGACACGAATAGGACAGAAAAAGAAAACTTCTAGAAAATTCTGAAGAACACCTCCCGCCCAAATAAGCAATTAAAGAGGCCATCTTTAGAGGGAAACCCAAAACCCCAGAAAGCAAAAAGCAAAGAAATCATCACTGCACAAGCAAAGGGAATCTAAAATCCATAAAAAACAACTGAAAATCGCAAAAATTAGTGTGAAAGAAAAGGTTATTATTTACTAAACAGAGCTTACTAGAGAGTATCAGGAGGCCCAATTACAGTGACGCTCCATTCAAAAATGTTGGTTTCGTCGACCAAACCGGCGGAAAATCCATCAACGGGGTTCTTGCAGAGATCTGCAAGCAAAAGAGAGATCGATCAGAAGACAGCGGAGAATCCACGCAAAGAAATCAAACAGGAACCAGAGGAAGGAAGAAGAAGGGATTGGGTGAGGGAGGACGCAAGAAAGACACCTTTGAGCTGCTTCTGAAGGAGGAGGCTTGCTTGGGACG